AGCACTGGAGACATAATGTTGCCTGAATGTCAGGCGGCCCCCCCCTTCCTCCCTCTACCCCAGTCACTCTGCAGAATTTCAAAACAGAGTTGGTACAACAGCGTATTCCTCACACTGTTTCCTTTTTACTGCTGTCGTTGGCCTACTAACCGCAGCTCCACCACTTCTACTGACAGCCCCGCTCCCATACATCACCAGCCTTGATGCAAACGTGTACCAGTGGAGAGAAAGATGTTATGTTATGTTTGTCTCTACCAAACACAGGAAACCCATCAAAGTCTGGCCTTCATTAGACTCTAATTTAATCATTTTCATTTTTCCAACCCCCCCAACTCTTGTCTCTTTATCATTCTGTCTATTATATTAGCAGATGAGGTCATGTGACTGTAATGAGACCAGTACACTTGGGTGTAATACAACACGCACGTCAAAATCTCTCAGATCTCGTTGTCTTTTTCATCCTGAAATATTTGGGTTCTTTTGGATTTTTTCACTTTTGCGGCCGTCACGCGTTTAAACCCGCCCACTCGCTCGCTGTGAATTTACCAGTTGTTTTCCTGCTGTATTCTCACGTGTGCTCCCTCAGACAATCTCCTGAGTTTTTACTCTCATGCGGGAAAAGTTCCAGAGCAACTGATTTTGACATTTACCTTCTCACATACAGATCGACTGCAAAAAATCAAGAAACTGTTGGGAGTTGAGTGCAGCTATAGAGACAAGTTTAGAAAAGGACAAAAAAAATAAGCAAGTAAAAGCTTCTTTGATCAATATTTTCATATTAACAATAGATCAGATGATTGAGTATAATGTCTAAGGGGTCACAGAAAATTATAAGTGTTTTACCCGCTTTCAGCACTGCTTTGGTTCATCAGCGTCAATTCCAGCCACAGCAGGTAGCTTGTTTCACCCAAAAATTGTTCCCTGTGGAGCATTTAGCAGATTTAAAAAAAAAAGAAACAACATATTCTGCACAGGAGTCGGTGGAGAAAAAAACAGCTAAAATGAGAGTGAATATTGGTCTGAAAGACGACTCCAAATGAATGATAATGTTGCTCCGTGTCTGCTGGATGTGTAAATAAGCAACTGTGAGCGAACAAGTTTACCATATCAACTTCATGGTGATAATATGTCAATATTGTATTTGCAGCTTGTTTACGCTGTTCCCAAGTGGTTAAAAAAAAATCAGTTATAGCAGGTTTAAAGATGTTTTTTTTAAGATTGAGCACTGATCCGACCTCTCTGGGAGTTTGCGGGAGGCTGTTTGAAAGATGCAGCAAAACAGCAACAGCACGATCACCTTTCGGCCTTCACAGTCCTTGACCTCGCACGAGTGTGTGGATCGTTTCATCTCTGTCGAAAAACTTGTCCCTACCACCCAACGCATTCTTTCAGCAGTTGACTGAATTTTCAAAAAGCCTGTGACTCATCGACACACCAGAGGGTTTTTCAACAGCAACGGTTTGTTTGCTAAAACTAGAGCAGGCCCGACACTTCACAACACGTGGAACTGTGGTTTCCTCTGAGCGGTGAGTGCGCTCTCATCAAGATGGGATTGTGTACAGTAACTCTGCACCTCTATTGTGTGTGTTTCCCATTGTCACTGATAACTATGTGATCCATCATCTGCACTGGGTTTTATTGGTGGCCTTTTGTGGGGAGAGAGCTCCTTTGTCTGGACTGTTGTGTCCACACGTCGCCCTGTGCCAAGTAAAATGCACACGTTGTGTTTTTGTCCTCACACGTCTCTGTGCTCTATCAGTCCACCAGCATCTTTAGTAAACAAAGTGCATTCTCTTTTTCTGCTCTGCTCTCTGAGATGTGTGTTAGTGTGTCTATATTGATTCAGTCAATATCTATGGGCTCCATGTCTTATTTTGTGTGTATTTGTTGTGATTGTGTGTGTGTGTGTGTCTCGGCTACCTGAATACCTGTGTATTTGTGCCATATCTGCTGGAGACTGTGTTTACTGTGCATGTACAATCCATTACAATCTGTGAGCGTCTGTATCTGACAGTCTGTGCATGTATGTGTGTGTGTGAGGAAGAGTATTCCCTGGGCTGCTAGTTATAATGTTTCTGGGGGTGATGGGGGGAACTTGAAAGCCCTGTGCTGCCCAAATCAAAACTAACAAGGAAATGATGGGGGCTCCTTTATCTCCTCTCTGGCCTGGGGGGCCGAGGGGGGCGAGAACGGGAGACTGGGGAGGGAGGGAGAGAAGTGGAGGAGGAGGAGGGAGGGAAGGAGGACGAGGAGGAGGAGAGGGGGGGCAGCCTGGCTTCCTCTTTGATTTGTAAAAAATGCATTACCTCCGAAATCAAACGGAAAATTACTGCGCCGAAGCAAAACACAGAGCAGGAGCGAGGGAGCGAGAGAAGGAGATGGGTGGGGCGTGAGGGAGGGATAGAAGACAGTGGATAGTGTGTGTGTGTGTGTGAGAATAGGAAGGAGGTGGGAAAGAGGAAAGGAGGATTCACCTGTATAGATACGCTGTTGGATCGGAAAAGGGAGGATGAGTATAGATTTGATGCAGTGCATGCGTAGGTGGTACGAGAGATAGCCGGGGAGACCCTGACAGATGGGAGCGCACATATATATCATCCTCAGAGGAGACGAGCTTATACATGCTGCGGACCGCGAGAATATGGAAAATGAAAGGGATGATGCAGCACTGATGGCCTGTAGCCCACAGGGAAGAGGAAACTTATAGATTACTACCTCAACACAAAGAATATCTTATTTTTTAAAGACTCACACTGATCCCTGCTGAGGCCTTCAGTCGGATGAACAAGCCAGATATCAGCATTTTAATGGGAGGAGGTGTGTTTTGAAATGGAGCCACTTCTAATTGAATGAAGGCCAATGTGTGATTTGATGTCCAACTCGGTTACAGGCTATAAGTGTAGGATTGTTTTGTGTAAAAAATCCCACCTGAAAGTGAGCAGCTTTGTGTGAAGACATGAGTTATGGTTGTTATTTGAACCCTCACAATAACTTTCTCTCATTATGTGAAAGTGCGGCGCAGGCAGAGACGCGAAATATAGGAGAAGATGAAAATTAAAAAAAGAGCAGTGATAACATGAATGATACAGGGAAAAAATATGTGAGATAGGATGAATGCCAACTCTATATTTGAAGACAGAGGGAGCGGCTTGAGAACAAGAAAGATGAAGAGAGGGAGGAGAGAGAGCGAGAGGGGCCACAATCCAAAGGCTAGAAGCGGGGTGAGAGCGAGCGAGAGATGGATAGAAAGAGAGGGTCGGCCAGAGAGTGAGTGAGAGAGGGAGAGAGTGAGAAATGCCTGGAGTTAGCAATAATAATTTATACAAACACACCTTAATAATTCACGTTCCATTTCAATGCTGGAGGGAAAATCCAAAATTCACAGAGCATAATTAAATAGAGGCAGAGAGTGAAGAGAGAGATAGAGAGGCCAGCATTAAAGATACCAATGTAGCAGCGGGGCATCTCTTCCATCTGAGCTTTGTAAAACAACCCTGATGAAACTGTGATGTCCAAACCAGACCCCGTCTCACAGTCCCTGCACTCGTCAGCAATCCGCTTTCACCTTCTCTCGTCAGCAGACTTGAGTTGATTTAGGAGACGTTACTGTTTATTAGCTTTTAATAAAAACAGCCGACGCCTCCCTCGATCACGCTGAACACACTGTGGTTTACGTTGCGTTCATATCACTTGTTAGTGTGTAAGACGAATGAAGCAGTGTGATGGAGAAGGAATCAGCAGACTGCCTTAAGCTGTCGTGCAGACTTGTGGTGCCCTGTCGGTGTTGTCGAAGCAAAAAGACAAACTACAGACGTGCACTGTGCATTTGCTGGACTTCAGTTTCCACCTTTTTACTTTAACTTCTAAATGATTGTATCATATTTTATATAACCTGACACTGATTTCTTTTTTTTTTTCTTAAAATGTTGTTTAAAAACTACAAGAAATCGAAGTAAACTATTTCTACTTTATGCTGTCTTGTACATATGGAAATATTAAGATTTACATAACTGTCAGGTATTTACATTTACCTGACAGAGTCACTAGTTACTCTGCAGTTCAAGATTTTACATTCAAATAAAATAAAGAGCTTGTAAAATATAATCTGTCCAACAGCTTTTAGCTTCATCTTGAACAAATACAACAATAAACTCATTGATGCATCAGTAGCATTAATCAATAATATATATTCCATTCCATTTTGTCTCAGCAATACTTTAAGTGCATATGTTTGATATTTGTTTGTTATATTTGTACAACAAAGGATACGTCTGAATACAACTCAAATCATGCAACCAGAATAGGTGAGCAGATTTAAGACAATTTACTAAAGGTGTAGCCCTTAATTCACAGTAAAATGAGAAAACAAATCTGAAAAACTCCATTTGTCTCATTTTATTCACTGAACAAGTGAACCCTTTTCTCTTCAGGCAGACACTAAACTTAACCGTTACTCGTAGTGTACTTGAACTTAACCTTTGCAGATATATACTTAAAACATAGTTCTCACTCCACTCTGGAATAACCAAGTTGTATTATATATTTTAAAAACTCTGTTTTTAATGTATAATATGACTCAACTTTGACTTGGTTTTCAGAAGTTTAATTCCTCCTGTTCATAAATGCAGTGTAGCAATGTCCACCCTGTTGCATCAGACACAGCCTCAGGTGACCATATAAGATAACATCCATCAAACAGCTGATCTCAACCAAAAACATATGAAACATAACCTCGTCATATTTCATGATCGATTTAAGGTATGTTTCTGAACTCATACTGCGCCTTTAGACACTTATGCAATACCTCCATTTTCAACACAGTTATACATTTTTAACTTCAACTTCGACTCAGGAAAATAAACCATCCTGGGATGGTTCTCTTTGACTCGAGCAAGTCTTTTTCTATGACATGTCATTTCATGTTCCGTATGCAGAAGTCAACTAATTGTGGTTTTGTGTCTTTTCTTCCCCGTCTGCACCTTTTCTTTGTTTTGTTACAGGTGTTGTGGAGGCATGGACTGTAACTGCGTCAGTGATCTGCTGCTCCCCCCGGTGCCCGCACTCTGGACACCAGGTTAGTCCCACCACCTCCATGCTCAGACGACAGAAAAATAGGAGATTGGGTAATTTAAACCTCTCTCTTGTATTTGGGTCAGGTACTGCTTAAGGTTAAAATTGTTTTCAAATGTGCCCATTCATGAGCACAAATCTTTAAACATTTTGACTGGGGTCAATTTTGTAAATTGGATAAAACCAGAAAAAACCAAAACAAGCAAATCTAGTTTTGTTGAAACTTCAAAAACATGGCCATCCTCATCTTCGTCAATATTGCATTTTAAAATTCATATCAAAAGATTAACCATAGACGCATTGCCAAACAAATTGAGTCTCTGGTGATAATTGGTTGTATGTTCCTAATGTTTTTACAAGGTTAGTTTTTGCCTGATTCACTTTTGGGATGAGTCAGAAAGCTACTTAACTCCATCAGTGATGTGGATGCAGTCTTCGGTTTCTAGAATTCAGACTCGAGCAGCATCAATCAGATCTCTCTCAGCGAGCTGTCATCATCGCACTGACCAATCTGTTCAGGCTAGAGGGCATTAGCGCAGACTAACATTGCTCAAGGCACATGCTGTGATATTAAACACATAATCCCTCACCTCCATCACTCATCAGTCATTCAGACAGCAGCAAACCCCTCCCCACGCACCCACTCCCTGTGAGCATCGGGACAAATGATAGGCCCCCAGCCTCATCCTCCGCTCTTTCCTGCTTCCCTCTGCCCAGGGTTTGCTTTCCCAGACTGGGCCTACAAGCCCGAGTCAAGTCCCGGCTCCAGACAGATCCAGCTGTGGCACTTCATCCTGGAGCTGCTGCAGAAGGAGGAGTATCAGGGGGTGATCGCCTGGCAGGGGGACTACGGCGAGTTCGTCATCAAGGACCCAGACGAGGTGGCCCGGCTGTGGGGGTTAAGAAAATGCAAACCCCACATGAACTATGACAAGCTGAGCAGGGCACTGAGGTATTGAACCTGATGTGTTGAATGTCAAGCAATTACACTGTTTGTATCAGATAAAGATGTTTATCACATTTACCTCGGTTTACGTAGATTGTTTACTCTTCTCTGACAGAAGCCTCACTTATTTTCCATGTCGGTAAAAAAATGGAGAGATAAAAGTGGAACTTTACCTCATGTCAATACCCTCAATTTCTCCTTATCTGTGAACACCCTAATGGAAAAGTTCACCATTGAGCTGCCAAATAGAAAATATCAATAGGGATTTTAAAATCAAGCAACGTTCTGAAATTGCTTGGACTTGTTCTTCAGAACTGGTAAAGTGCTTGGCGCTGCAGAACTTGCCGAAGGCGATTAAAACAATATTGTGCACACTCCATACCTTTAGCATTTTACACCCCCGGCCGCACTCAGTTTTCTTATGCAAATATCCGCTACCCCAACTTGTTCTCGCACCCCCCTTCCTTCTGCTTTCCTTTGGCCTCTTTTTAATGGGGGCTGTCGTCAGAGTCTAATTGTTATGAATTGGCTGGGGCCACAATTAGCCTCCTTAATTAGCCTCACTTAATTGCTCAATTAAGGGCCACGGCACAATTGCCACGCAAAGCAAAACACGTACACATCATTGCACCGAGTGCAGCCACTGTGGATACATGCTGATATGTACATGCTGCTGTGTTTGTTGATATAGTGCGTCTGCATAATGAGGCTCTGCTCACCAGTATTTAATGCTGAGGTTGTTAAATGCCTCCTGAGTGCGGCGCATTTACTGGGGTCACTTTAAAACAAAGAAATCCAAGCCAATCCAAGAAATGTCATTTGAGATAACTCGTCGGCAGGTTTTTCAGTTTGCATCATCCCGCTCCCGCACACACACACGCACGCACACACACACACAAACACACACACACACACACACACACACACACACACACACACACACTTGTGCGCTCCCCTTCACCCCCACCTGAGCGCTTCACTCCTCTTACCTGAGCCAGATGGCTCCATGTTTTGCCTCTGCCGCTGATCAACCTGGCATCCTGGCAGACTGTACGCTGTGACACCTCAGTGGGTGGCACAGGAAACTGACTTGACGACGGCTCGACATGCCCAGTGGCAGACACCTGAGGTCGTTACCATGGAGACCTCTCTCACTGTCCCACCTCCTTATAAACGCACTTTGCGGTTGTGGCAGTTTCTCGTTGTCGTGTACACTTGCGCGTTTCGGATTTGGGAGTGCAACTGCTTCTGATGATTCAAATTAAATACAAGGATGAAAACAATTCTTCCTCTTATACTTCTCGTAGAATCAATTATTTTCAGTGACAAATATGTGTTCATCTGAATGAAATACATTTATTTTTAAAGAGTGGAATTTTATTTCTCACTTTTTGGCTCACAATATATTTTCATTCACTTTGATGCTGTTATCCATATTATAATATAGAATTATGTAAAACTCATGATATTTAGATTGATAGAAATCATTTTAAAGGAGTCATTTTTTCGTTATCATTGTTTGTTCACTGTATGTGAAGGTCGACAGACACTTAAAGGGATTCAGCTTTTTGACTTTTTATTTGTTAACAGCGGAATAAAATTTCCCTTTAAAGGACTATACTGTATTGAATGGAGGCAGTGAGACATGAATTGATCTGAGGAAAGAGGAGATGAATAAAAACAGTGGGAAATCAGCATAGCTCTCGCCCCGCAGCGCTGAACTTGTTTACTTCTTCTTTTCTGTTAGTGTTGAAATACAAAACCTTGATGTGAGCATTATATTTAATCCTCCCCTCCTCTTTTCATTTTCCCTTTTCCTCTTCCCTTTTCCTTTATCCCTTATCCCCCTCACTCCATCCCTTTTTCAATATCCTCTCCTCTCTCTCTCACTCTCTTTCACAGGTATTATTACAACAAGCGCATTTTGCACAAAACCAAAGGGAAACGTTTCACCTACAAGTTTAACTTCAGTAAGGTCGTGCTGGTGAACTACCCCATCCTGGACATGGCCAACTCTCCCTTCTTTCTGGCCCAGAATCACTTCAATGGGGGCTCCACCGCACCCGACTGCACCCCAGAGGTACAACGGGTAGGATGGAGGAACTGGGAGAGGGTGGGGGGAAAGAGTGTGACATATTTTGCTTCAAATTTTTCAATATTCATTTATTTAAATCTGACACATCTAGGAAATATACTCATATTGATTGAAATCTAAATTATGATACATCCATATTTCTGTATGTATGAAAAGTGATAGTACGAGAATGATATTTAAATACTCAGGGAATAAAAAGAAGAGAAATTTGGAAGATAGAGCTTTACTTTTTTTTATAATAATTTATTTCAGGTAATTGAAATATCTTTAAAAAGTCCCTGCTGTCTTTTGAATTTTTTTTTTTTAACAAGAAAAAGGGTCCAATTTGTCGTATCTAACTTTTATTCACTGCCTCTGATGGCGTAATCAAATACGAGTCATTATTTGCCCTGTGAGGTTGTAAAATTTTTACAATTATGACAGAACACACAAAGAGTGAAACATGAACAGAAATGTTCTAATTAAGTCTGAAAACAATGTTATGATTTTACTTGCAGGCCCATTGATGTGATGTGATATTAAGAGCAAGTAAAACAATGAAGAAATTCATTTAAATTCTCCTACGCTGAATTATGGACACAGATTGTTTTCAGATGATTTTTTTAACTAAGATGTGAGTGCAAGTGTACAGACAATTTTATTTCGATGTCCTAGAAAGTGCACGTAACTTGAAAGTACAGTAAGAGCGAATCCTCCATCATTTGTCTGCGCCGTCCTTAAGATGGGATAAGGAGAGAGACTCTGAAGACGACAGCGGCGGGAGACGGTTTTAACTTGTCCTTAAAACAAAAGAAGACGTTATCCGCTCCCTCTCTCATCCCCGTCTCCGATGGCGTATCCATCTGTCATCGATTGAAAATGAAAGAAATGGAAAGCAACGGGGTCGCGTCAGATCAGATCAATGGCGGGTCATTAATGCGGTTTGTTAAGCAACGCAGATCTCGTAGCTTGGGAGTACAGTCTCGCCTTTCAAACCTGGAGCTGTGGGGTGACAGATACTATTGATCCACAGTCCTTCTAGGTGGGGGAAAAAAATCCCCCTTTGTCCCCTTGATTCCAGTTTTTTTTTTTTTTTTTAAGCTCGTCTCCTTCACGTATTTTACACATTAACACTCACATACACAGCTGCCCTACATCCTGAATGGATGTCATTTTCTCAGATCTCAGTCCTACTCGTACTGTGTCCCTTCGCACAAGCTGGCCCACAATCCCTCTCTTATCCTCTCTGCCCACAATCTTAATCGCTGGTCTCCATTTAACTCTGTGCTCTTCCTGTCTTTGAGTCTCTGAGCCTCTGTGTCCTCCTTCCTCCCTTTTTACCCCAACTCCCATGGCACCCCTTTTTTATCCTGTCCTTGCTGCGACTGTGTCACTGTTTGCATCACACTCTGCTGGGTGCTGCTGTCAACTCGCTGACTTTGTGCCGCAGTAACACAGCAGCACCATAAGGCTGGATTTGTTTGATTTATTTAGGAAGTTATTTTCATGGCCCTAACTTGTTTTTTTAAAATATGTTCCCTCTCTCTCTTCCTCTCTGTTGCTCAGGCCATACAGTCCCTGTTTCCCCGTTTGCCAGACTCCGGCAGAGGAACATCCCTGTTTGATCGAGGGACCACAGCACCAGGGCCTGAGGGAGACAAGCTACGACTGGACGCATTCCCTTTCCTCGGTTCAGGTGAGCTTGACAGGAGGAGAAAACTTGGTCAGAAACTTTTAAGTGCCAGTGCAAAAATAGGAATCTTTTAGTATCCCAGAGACAAGGCCAACTTCAAGAGGACAACTCGTGCAGAGGGTGTGTGCAAGGTGTGTGTGTGCAAGGTGTGTGTGGGCAGTGTATATATACACAGAAGGTAGACCCTCCGAAAAAACAAAGGGAGCAGGAGGAGAGGGTAGAGTAGGAATGAGGATATAGGGAGGCATGAGCATTTATTGTTAAAGGAAATAAGAGAGATGGTTTTTCCCAGAGCACCGCACGAGTGAGGCTGCGCTCCAGGTGAGACAGGCCAGGTTAGCTTGTGAATTATGCACATGAGCAGTGGTGTAAGAAGCAAGGTGAAGGCTGGAGAGGTCCTCCACACTTCCAGCACGAACGTTCACATTCATCCTCCTCTTTCCCAGCGTCTGATTGTCAACAAACGCAGTTTGGATTTGTGGATGTTTGCGTGAGTAACGTTACGCTCGTATGTTAATGCAGCAGCCTTTCTTTGCTTTATTGCACTCGCTGTATGAGCATCAGAATGTGTGTACGTATAGAGCGAGAGAGGTAAACAGATGTAGTCTCACACACACACACACATGCAGTCTTCATCACACAACCTGCCCCCCTACAAACCCCATCCCTCCCCACTCTTGTTTGTCCTCAGGTCCTATTCCCCCCTTCTTCCCTTCTCACCCTCCTCTCCCTCCCATGTGTCCCCGCTGTCCTAATCCCTTCCCAGGCAGGAAGGCCCTAATTGAGGGTGCAGGCTTCAGTTTGTGGCCTGTGGGCGCCCATTACTGTGTTTTCATAAGCAAGTGAGGCCTGCCTGACTGATTCAATATTCATGTGTCTGCCAGCTACTCCTGGCCCAGCACGCAGAGACTTCACCACTGTCAAATTAGCCCTGCATAGTAAATAACAGAGTGAAAAGAAAGAAGCAGAGAGAGAGAGAGAGAGAGAGAGGGAGGAAGACTGGGTGAGACAGAGGGTGCAACAGAGAGAGCGATAGAATCTTTGAGTTGGTTGTCAGTTGGAAGGAAGTACGGTGGCTTGAGAGCCAATGCTATTGTTGTTCATTAAAATTGAATTCCAGCATCACCTCAAATTTACCCTCTTTTTTTTTTTTTTAACAAGCGACGCTTACAAGGAGCTGAGTTCAAATATTGTACAATATTTAATTTGCACCACCTCCAGGATTTTTTGCGTAATTTACAACGATGCGATCACATTCAGTCAGTACAATGGTGGTGGTGGGGGGGGGGGGCATTAGATCGACAAGTTTTCTCTCTGTCAGTCATTTAACCTCTGGAAGTGCACAGACTAGTCTGCTGTTGCATTCTTTATTGTTTCTCCGATAGATTGAGTGGCCCCGCTGTGACGATGTGCAGCCGAAACAGTGGCACCAAATAATTCCTTCTTAACAGACAGAAATAATAACAACAACATTTTAAAAATGCAGACTTGATTAGTGGTTTGACATTTTTCTTTTTCAGCTGCAGTGCAGAATCTTTTTAGTTCAGCAGCGGTCTGAAGGGGGGGTGCTCCTCAGTAATGGCATGCATAAATGAACCATCAGGTTTTTGTTGAAAGTAACCATACCAGAATTGGCCCCTGTGGCTTCTGATTAGAATTGCTAATACCACCGAGCATAATTAGTGAACATTCTTGGATGTTGTATGTCAAGAAACCTTTGGCCCCTCTGAGTTCTAACCTCCATCTCTGGATTCTCTCTGTCCTAGGTGCCCCATGCTACTCCAAACCCCCGTCCCTGCTGGGCCCGTACCCTCGCAACCCACCCTTTGACTACCCCTGGGGCTTCAACCCCTACCTCCCAGGGGCCTTCTCTCTCAATAACTGCCCCAAACTGCCCCCTGGCTCCCTCTACCCCTCCCAGTTTTACCCCAACCCTTTGCAGAGCAGCCTATCCCAGCTGCCTCACCCCTTCTCCTCCCTGCTCCCCCCTGGGGAGGCAGGTGGGGGTGAAAGGGGAGTGGCAGGGCAAACCGGGGGGACAAACGGCACAGCGGGTGGTCAGCCAGCCAGACTATGCCTGCCACCCTACCCAGGGAGCCTGACGATGGGTCGGACGGACATTGGCAACGGGGCGACACTTGGTGAACGGGTGGTGGCCAGTCCTCCAGTTTCTGGGCTGAGTCTGAGTCTGGGGCTCGGAGCAGTCGGGTTGGGAGCCGGAACTGGGGCGGACCAGCAGAGCCCCACGGAGAGGAGAGGAGGGGTGAAGCAGGACCCGGAGTCGGACTCAGACCTGGAGATCACAGACCTGAGCGACTGCAGCTCGGACAACGAAAACGACCATGAGTTTGGCTTGGGGAAAGAATCCCGCCTGGCGAACCGGCCACAGATCCTGTTGGATGGAAAGAAAGGGAGCGCCCTGCCGCCGATCACCTCTCTCCCCCCGCCAGTGTCACCACATCCTCTGAAGAGCCTGATTCCTGTCAGTCCCCCTCCGCCGTCCCTGGCTCCGTCACTCTCCCCTTCCTTGGCTCGTCATGAAAGACACAGGGAGACAGAGACTCTCAAAATGATACACAGCTAATACATCCTGTGTCCACCATCTTGCCAGTCTATGCCCTGATAACTCTCTTCTTCTCTCCTTTCGTTTCTCTGAGAGCCTTTTTCTGCTTTAAATGACCAACACTGCGATCAGTCTTGATAAATACTTTTTCCAGGGAAGGCTGTAGAGTTCTTCTCTCCTAAAATTACTGTTTCCCTGTTTGCTGTCTAAGTTTTTACTTGCCTACACTCCATTACACCACTGACTTCTCCATCTCAGAACATACAGGGCTTATGCTTTTTAGGGCATCAGCAGTCTGTAACACCGTCTTGTCTTTTCTGCTTTGACCGCTCACACTAAATAATCGCTCCATGGTCAATACACTTGTTTACGCATCACGAGCAGTACTCTGCAATTTGCTGTCCACAGACAAGCTATGACAGAAGGCACTGAGTTATTAATACAACAGCATCCCTATACTAACGAAACAAAACAAGAAATGATGCTCAGATCCACCCAATTTGACAGAATTGTACTAAATAAATATATGTAATATATATGTGTGTATATATATATATTACATAGAGAAAATTATTTTGAGACATAGTCAAATACTGCCACCTAGTGTTCTGTTTAGTCAACATCTCTTCAGAGGGATCATCTCCTCTCCATGATCTTACTCTCACCCCAAAGTTAATTTTGCACTTACTTATATATGATATAGTTTCTTGCTGGTCAGTTCAAATGTTGTTTGTTTTTTTAAATCCATATTTCTAATAGTGCTAACTGTGATAGTCTGTGAATATTTATTTTGTCCTGTGGTTCAAGTATTTCCTGCACATTCTCCAAAAGGGAAGAAAAAGAGAGCAGAGGGAGCTGGGCCAATCTAGATATTTGTATGAATATTTCTGTGTATATATTTTAATATGGTGTACATTACATTTAATTATTATTCACTATGATAAGATTTAGCTGTATTGTTGTGATTTAATTCCGTATTTAAACATGTTTGGAAAAATTATAAGCTTAGGTGTATCAAAGTTTAAATTATTAATGGCAGACGATCTGCACTCTGAAGATGTTTTTCTATGATGAAGACAGAGGTCACACTGGGAATTTTCTCTGATTTTCTCAACCCCAGTTAATTGTGCCCTTTGGTCATTTTTGCCAGATGCCCAATGTACAAACCCTTTGGGTTCAAATATATGCCGGTAGACTTATTTTTATAGTTAGCATTCACCCAGTGTAACTGTACTGTAATTAGTCAAATGTGAATAATACTGGGCTTTGCATTTTCTTGAAAATCTGTTTTGATTATTTTTCAATCAATGCTTTTTGTCCATGCCAGCAGCAGGGCAATCCAGTTAGGTTGACGACACAAGAAAAAAGAAAAATATTCAAAAACTGTTCATCTGTTTTCGTCCAACATCCTTTCTCCGGCCCAGTTTCTCAGCACAGAGTGATCAATAAACCATATTGTACAGCTTCGTAGACTTTATAGCCTATGGTTTGTCAAACAGTGGCAGTATATGATTAGTTGTGAAAGCTCTATTGTAAAGTTAATGTAAAGCTCTATGTTTTGAGTTGTTACAGGAAAGACCTCGTGTCCCCTCCACGTGGACGACACTGACCAACAGCTGTAAATACTGTTTCCTTTGTGTGTGTATGTCTGTGTACACATCCGACAATGACAATGCAGTGGTTTGACCTGTCATCTCTCTTTGTTTTACTGTAAAGAGGAAAAATTGAAAGTGCAAAAAAGAAGAAAAAGATTCATATCTTCAAAAGCAATAAACATTATTCTGGATAGTGGACTGTTGTTGGCCGTGAGCTTGTTGAACTGATTCACTGTGTCACGGCGAGAAATGAACGGTGCCGTGACTCTTCCATCAAATCTCTGTCATCATCTATAAACTTCACCGCAGCGTTTTCATCACGCTGTCAGATACCAAGCTTTTCATACCAGAGAACAGAGCCTGCTAATATTCTCTTGGACACCACAGTATATTTTGGATAGTTTGAATTAAAGTCAATTCATTTTATCACTTAGTTAGTAAAATATAATATATATTTAATCCAGGTGTACCTGCTGAGATAATTTTTTTATAATATATTTAAAATACTGAAAAAATGTAGCATTAGCTGAAGATGTAAATACACTGTGAATAATTAGTCAAATTAAAACTGAGACGTTTAATCTAATTATAGCAAATTCATATGGATTTCTGTTACCATAAATTGTTTCCACTTAATCAGATCAACGAAAATATTAATTAAATTAATTCAGACCAAAAACATAATTATCTATTTTCTTGCTGATCTTGATAAGTATGTGTATATGTAGGTTAGAAACACACATAAAATAAGTTTCACACATGATGCCATATGAAAAAATCTTAACCAGTGAAACAAATATATGTTATCATTACATTTAGAAATGATAAAATAATAATAATCCCTCATTTTGTTTCTTATATGCTGAGTATCACTGACTGTTTTCTAGGTTTAAGGTTTATATCTGTTCTCAGCAGTTGAACAGATACAGAAACGTTTGGATAATAATGAGAATAAATTGAATGTATTGATTAAATTATTATAACTATTCTGCAAACACTCATGTGTTTTTAATCCAATAATCAGAACATCGGAGAGAGGGTAAACTCTACAATGAGACATGTCGTACACTGGTGTGAGGTGTCACTTTTTACTGTTTGGACACCAGTCTGAAAAATATATAAATATCCAAGTGCAGCTCCTACATAAACACTGATCAGCCACAACATTAAAACCACTTAAAGGTGAAGTCAATATATTAAACATTGGGTTAGTTCAGTTCTTGGAACCGAGCGACTCTGACGAGGGTCAGATTGTGACGGATAGACGACTGGGTCAGATTATCACTGAACAGTCGGCATGGTGCGGTGTTCCTGGTGTTCAGAGGTAAGTAGAGGAGGGACAATGACATGTCATGGGTACACAAGGCTCATAAATACATGTGGAGAGTGAGGTCTGGTCCCACTGGAGAACTGCTGAGGCCAAAAACACCTGAAACCCTTGAAGCTGTCCATGATGGAAAACAGTCAGAACCAAGAGTGCATAGCTGCTTCCTGTGTGTGACGCTGCGTGCTCATGCTGACCCCTGTAACATGACGTGAGCGATGGAAGCAGGCGGCCTGCTCTGATGAGTCACGTTTTCTTTTTTTACGTCATGTGGATCATGGTGGGCGGTTGGGGCTCTTTGGGGTCCACCTCATACTGCGGTTAGTGTCTAAATGATACAGCCACAGAAACACAAATGGATTTCAATGCCTGAATGCTGACGAGATACAAACTCGGTTGGACTCTGATTTTCTATCTGTGTTTATAATCAACCTGCCTTCCAGGTTAAGATCATAGAAGTGGCAGTTTGAACACTGAATATGACAATTCAAACACAGAACAGTACTTTTTTAACTTAGCCACATGTGTCTTATACTTGATTGTTAGTTTATTATCATTAGGGGTTTATAAGGTCTGCTACACATGTGGATTTAAAGGTGATAACAAAGTAGAAAGTAGAATAGAGTTTTATTCTTGCAACATCCAAAGTAGAAAGTTAAGACTAAATCGACTTGAGCTCTTTTTTCCAAGGTCAAGAATGAAATTTGAAACTCAAAGTTGAGCCAAAGTTGAGTTAATTCTCCAGCCATGACGATATAAAGCTTTTACTGGACCAGTTTTTCTCTTGGGGTCATGTTTGATACCACAGGTCAAATTAGATGACGGACTGGAAAGGGCCTGGGTCTTGTCAGTGTTTCTCCACAGGGTGGAGCATGAAACCCGGAGTAGAAGCAGTGAGAGACCAGACAAGGATTAAAGTCTGGTTTGAGAAATTCACTCTGCAAACACAAGCCTTGATTTCAGAACACATGTTCTTTATGTTGTTTAAACAGCTGTCACCTCTACACACTGTCTCCACGACACTGTGTGGGAAATGCATTTGTAACTTTTCTGGTAAAAGTGATTAAAACAAACAAGATGAAACGTACAAACAACAACAACAACAATAATAATAATAACAACAACAATTATAATAATAGTAATAATAATACAATTACAGACAATAAAACCATTAAACATAACACGGTGAAAGATATTTATGAGCAGATTGAGGCTACAGACCAGGAGGAACAGAAAACTGAAATTATGTGCGGCATGTTTGTGTAGGATTAAATAATTATAAAATAATTCATGTGCAGGTTTGGTCACTGAAACTGAAATAAAATGAAACTGTGGAAATCATGTAGGAAAAACAATAGACGTATTTAAAAGATGTCTAATATTCCAGGTGAGCAGTGCTCAAGTGCTCATCAACAAAATCAAAACTCACGTACTAAACATAAGTCACACAAAATACTTAAAGTGGGGGACGGGTTAGTGTGTGACACAGTGCGGAAACAACCCCCTCACAAACTCACAATCAAGCTGAGAAACACACAAACAACAACTTCTATGATTTAAAGTGTCTGATGGTTGTTCGCACACACTGCATGGATCATTTCTAAACCTTAAACCTGCAGTTTCCTTCATGTTTCACTCTCCTGTTCACCCTGCGTCTTCTTTTCTCTGTGTACTTCCGCGTACAATGCCCCCCCACCCCCCCGCTCCGCTGACACACGGCAGCTCTCGGGACAGGAAACCAAACAGCCCTCCGCCGCCCGGTGCTTTTCTCTTCGTTTCACGGTGAGTACGAGTTTCAACTCGTCTTCGCAACAACTTCCCCGAGAGTCTGAACTTCTCCGGCTTCGTTCGACGTGCGTAAAGTCGTCGTGGTTGTTTGTTTGAACCGAGAGAAGTCGCTCCATCCAGCCCCCGAGCAGCAGACAAGGGGGGGGGGGGGGAGTCCGCCGAGAGGAGGGCTGCGCTCCGGCTGCGCACTCGACCGAACTCGGCCTCCTCGAATAAGAAACTAAAAACCCTCCACTTCTACGTTTAGCATTTTGTTTTGGGCTAATTAACCGTGAGCTCCGTGTGGAGGCTTGGACCCGGAGTCGGGAGCGGTTCTGCGGGTAGAACAACCTCAGGTATCCAACACGTTTGCTCCGTGCGTATTTTCTTCCTTTCTTTTTTTTTTACGCAGTTTACGCAGAGTTGTCAGTCAGAATGTGTCGGTGACCTTGTGAGTTAGTTTGTTATCTTATCTTTTGTCTCTGAGTGAGGAGAGTTTCTCATGAGGGAAACACAGATATAGAGGATGAGGCTGCTAATAATATAGTTTATTCTTTAATTATCTCTTTTTGTTGTTGTTGCTTTTCATCTTCTAACAGGTGACCCACTCCTCTGTCTCCCTCTCACTGCATTGTTTTTGCACCACGTGAAAGAAGGCCACAGTTTACGGCTCCAATTATATCGAGATTGCAATGTAAACGCAAGGAAATATAAAAAATAGAGATGCAATAGAAGTAATATACAGTGTAAACACAACAGATGAAGGCAGAACAACTGTACGTGAGCCATTGAATTGCACAGACAGAATATTGCACTGTTAAAAGAGTTAAAGGTCCAGTGTGTAAGATTGAGGTGAAAGGGATCTATTGGCAGAAATTTAATGTAGAATAATCCTCGTGATGTTTTCACTAGTTTGTTTCATCTAGATTGTATGAATTGTTGATCCTTTATATTTAAATACTTTATATTTACACCGAGGGGGTCCACTCTACGGAGGCCACCATGTTTTTTACATTAGTCCGGACTGAACAAACTAAACACCTTTTGAGTTTTTATGACAACTGAAGCTACCACAGGTTATTTTCCATGTTTGGAAGGAGAGGGTGAGGTGAGGGGTGTTCAGCTGCAACATGAAACTTCACCTCTCAATATCACCAAATACTACTCACTGAACCCTTAAGCAAAATATTTACAAATCCAAATATAGATCAACTTTATGTTGTATCTCATCACTGTGTTTGCATGATGCACAAGCATTATCTTGATATATACATAACTTTATTTATATTATCCATATTGTTTTATTGCTCAGCCATACAACCATCCTCCTGCAATCCCTCCTCTCTCTCCCTGTACTATTCTCCAGTGGTGGATCAAGGATTTGTTTAAACCACAATTTACACCAAGGAGCCAAATATATGTATGTGCGTGCACATTTCAGTAATGTTTACATTTAAGTGACTCCTTGTTAACTGTTGCTAATGCTCTATAGCTTTGAGCAAAGCCACAGATCATTGAATATATTGTGAAAAATGTTCCTTGCTCATCTTGGAAAATAATAATTCTTCACAGATTTTCATATCGTGTCATTTTATTGTTAGTAAGTGACCAGTTCATTTTGCAAAACACCCTAGTGACAGGACAAGGGGCACTTCAAGGGCCAGTCAGATTTCAGCCGGCCCCACCCCCTGGATCCGCCCCTGCCACTCTCTCTCATCACATCATCCCATATAGGAAATATAGAGCGGGGGGGGGGGATCAGTGTAGACAGCGTTCACTAATTAGTGTCTGCATTATCATTGATTATCCATGATGATGATTTTTGCCTTGTGAAATAGAGGACACTGCCTGTGCAGCATGAGTGAGGGGCTGTGCAGCGAGTTCAGCCTCAGTATCTCATTAACCGAACACGGGAGGCTGGGACAGTGCAGCCATGTTTTTATTAATTACTCCTTAAAGAACAACATTATCTTTATCCAAGTTGAAAGTTTTGCCTCATGACCGACAGTGGATAATAATAATGGTTAAAGTTACCTATTGTTAGACAGTGCTGTGTGTGGGGGGGTGTTGTGAAAGGCATTGCAAGTGGTGTTTTTTTTTTTTGGGGGGAGTGCGACGCTGTCGCAGCCAGCTGCTGCACCCCAGAGGCCCCATGTGAAGCAGCCCTGCCACTTCCTGTTAAGCTCTGCTAGACTAGCGAGCACTGCACTTGTCATCTCTCTCTCTCTCTCTCTCCCCACGTTTTGCAAGTGCAGGCTTGTCTCGAGCCCAAAGGCTAACTTCTCTTCCTTTTAAAGGAATGTTGGCTATTTAATTTGAGCTGCTGTGCCGCTCTCTCCCTCACTGTCTCTCACCCTCTCCGTTGTCACAGGCCTACAAAAACTCACCCGTGTCCACTGTCCCTCAGAGGGTGGGCTGATAAACTCGGTTAGTGCCACAGCGAGGTGTAACAGTCGTTAATAGCCTCTTGCGAGAGATACCAAACAACTGGACTGACAGATAATGTCACCCACAGTGGAACAGCCAGGGGGTATCCTAAGGTCCTGGAGCTGGGTTAAAGGCAAGCTAATAATTTACTATAGTCAGGATTGAACTTTAAAAGAAGCACAGGTATTCTTCTGTGGGTGCAGTTAGATTGACAGCAGATAATGAGAGACAGACTGGACTGGACTGTCTCTCCAGCGGTTTACAGGGAAATTTACTGATTCCTGCAGAATGAGCTCAGTCTGTGCGTGTCTGTGTGCGTGTCTGAGTGCGTGTGTGTGAGAGAGAGTGCATAGAAAGGTGATGATGCAACAATACGTCCAACAACAGGTGATCTCAGAAGTGTGAGATGTGACAAAGTGACAAAAGGTTGTAGCATTTGTTTGAAAGGATGACAGCGGTGACTTTGCATCACTCGTGAAGATGCAGCAACGTGTGACATTTATATCTGAGGTAACTGAATATTTTGGGTTTCATACATATAGACACTTCCCCCGGGGAACTTAGTATGATGGGGTTTTGACTTCCTCTATTTTCTGAACTGTGAATAAGCATATTGCGAAAACAACCTGCAGATTAATCAGAAATCCCTCAAGTTCAACCTGTATCATGATGACAAGGCCAAAACACTTGACGATTCAAAGTTGCACAACTGAAGAATTGTCCCTAACACCCGCTGGTGTCCGCTAACACCTGCTAACATCTACTGGTAGTTGGTAACTTAATTTGTGCAGAAGACGTATAAGCGATAGTCACCCTTTGTCCTATATTCTAAACTGCAGCTCTAAACTAGTTATTCCTCTTGTACCTGTGGTTGTTATTAGTAACTTGCTGATTCTGTTGGAAATCAGTGAGCAGGATTTTTGCATCATTGTGATGAAGAACCTTGATTTGTTCAGTATTTACTGGATCGTCAACCACTTTCACCTCAAACAGACATTTCCTTCTGGTTGTTTTATCTCTAAAACGCTTTTGCAGTGCAGCAGTTTATATAAGTCACACTGAGGTCAGAAACCCGTTTTGCACAACAGACAACCGAATAAACAGACATTACAATTCCAAAACACACTAGAGTCGGCCATTTTCAGTTTGAAATGTCACTGAAGGAAATGCAAAGGAGGAAGAATGATCACTATTTCTCTGTCATGACTTAACAATGCTAAGACTGTAATAGCTCCCTCATCACTCACTCTGCAGCTGGCTCTAAATTTAGGCTTGGAACACAGATATGGATTATTGTCATTTTGATGTAATGTCTCATGACTGTAATTGTTGCATCAACAAGATGTGATGACTTGCATCAGAACGCAGCGACCAAAACATATTTGTTCCATCGAGGAGTACTTGTGAGTACAGTACAAAGTATGCACTATATGGTAATAAAATAATAATTCTCCTGTCCTGGTAAATGACCACATCTTTAAATTCCCCCCCACACACAGGTTTCCTGTTTTAAATGTGTCTCTGAGCCCAAGACGAGAGATAACCCTGATGACATCACCAGGACATCATCAGTGTTTTCTCAGGCCTGCGAGATGTTTCCTCCAGAGCCACAGAAGACATAATAAAAGTGTTTTCCATCAGGAGTAGACTGACCTATCTGTGTAGAATTAGTGGAGTACCCCTTTAAGAATGAAGCGGACTCCCACAGCCCTGATTTGTACCGACTTGTTCTGCCCTTGAATGAAGCGACAGCTTTAGACAAAACATTGATTATTGTTCTCATGAGTTAATTTCCGTCCATTCGTTGTACATGCAAACCATTAACTCTTCATCTTTCATTTGTTATCAGCCCGTTCACATGAAAGAGATTTTAAAGTTACTCTTGCAGCTCAGAAATGCTGGATGGTATGAACACAAATTTATATCAAAGTTTTTTTTTAAGCTTCTGGCATATATCAAGTTTTTCCATTTAGGTAGAATTGTAGTGGTTTGTTCGTCCGTCTGGGGTACAACATTATCATTTTTTGAGCACTCTATATAATGCAGGCTGTAATAGACAATTTGAAGGAATCTGTGTGGTACGCTATGCTAAACTATTTTTTAAACTGCAACATAGTGGAAACAGAACTTCAAAATAAATAGATATGCCAACAGAATGAACATTGCTGCATTTTCCAAATTAAATATTTGAACTAAACTTAAGTTAAATACTGAAAGTGTTTTAATTATTCAATTGCACAGGTGGAGACCCACAAGTCGCTCTGTAGGAAAGCATAGCTGACTTGAATTAGGGATGAAGAGTGACTGTTGTGGTTGATGTCATGATGGAGAGACTGGTTTGTCGGAATGAAAAGTGTTTAGTTGTAGAAAGGTTCAGTTGAAGGTGGTGTTTCCTCATCCATGCACATGTCAGAGAGATTCAGATTCACACTGAGACCGTGGGATAATCTGGTGGGAATGGCAGGCATAGTTTGGTGTCATCAGCATAGCAGTGATATGACAAGCAATGACAGAGGGTAATTGGACTCAGGGATGTGGTTTACATAAGTAAGAGAAGGGGCCCAGCCCAAGCCTTGCGGCACACCTGTGGGCTGGGTATGGGATAAGGATGTATATCAATGCCATTATTTGATGCCTAATGAAACATTAGAGTTGTTGACATATATGCTACTGTCCAGCAGTATGTAAAAATATATATACCGTGCAAGAGCTTTATACCAGTATACTGGATGAACTGGTATACTGCCAGGCACTAGCTCACAGGCATTATGTCTTAACACAAAGAGCTCGGTGCTTTCACCTGCCAATCTGTCATCTCTCTGCTGTCAGTCACATCTGCTTCGTACTCTGGAGTCAATCTAGACCAAGCATCCTTCTCACAGAATGGTTAAAGTGTGTGCGTGAGTGATGTGAGTCATGCGTGTGAAGTGGGGACATTCCCCCAGAACA